AACTGTGAACGAATGAACAGATGTATGAGGCGATGGGCTATAGAAAATGAAATACCAAGTGGACAAAACTTTATCAGACTCAAACATGTCACGTGATCAACTTTTTGAAAAGTCGCAGTACAGCCTTTGATGATTTGCGCACCTCCTCATAATTTCTTGGTACACGAAATGTTTTGACCTGCACGGCTATTTTARACTTTTAAAATGCTTATCAAAATAGACTTAAATAAAAATATGAGTGCAACACAACTCGAGCTCCAAAGGTTGAGGGCCTTAGACCGGCCAATCAGAAACAAGCACTTCTTTCCAAAACAAAAACAAGAGAGGTCGCAAAGCATCCAGAGTGATACTGAGGCTTCAAAACCGAAAGGGAGAATGATAAAGCAATTTATTGTATAACATAAAATTTAAGTCAGAACAAAATCMGATCGCGTCGYCATCTAAAAGTTAGCTTGAYRCATTAGATTTATTTCTTTAAATCAACTTGAAGATAGCGGAACTTATTAAGTTTCTGAACACCAACACGCACAACACTCCAGCGTCATTCCACGTRATCGGCTTCAGTYTTGGTGCCCACATCGCTGGTTATGTTGGAAGAAGACTTCAACGCATCAAACTGTCCCGTATTTCAGGTAATGTACCTTCATTGTTCCAGATGTACCATGAGACTAAATGCGGTTCTTCTACATACGAATTGCTATGATCTTAGAGCTAAGGAAGCAAGTTTCAACAATAGAATCTTTTTAAAACAAATCGTAATTGTCCTTTCAATGATTTTTTTTATGGAAATGCGAAATGCATTCGGGTATGATTTATCGAAAGTATTATCTGACTACACCTGCTGGTCCAAATACCTTCTCGCTATGTAAAACAATATAAGTGATCTTAGAAAGCTTGTTTATCCTTTGTTTACACGTCAGAATTGTTTTTAAATACACGATAACGCGTTGAAAATTTCAAAAAGAAAAAAGAAAAAACAAAATCTATTAAGAAAATCTGATGACCGATGCATAAAACAGTTGAACGAGGTTATTTCTATCCACGAACATCATCGATCAGATATTTCCCGTCTTTGAGAATAATCCAGTTTCGAACTCTCCAATTCCTGTGTTAGCTTCATTTGCTCGTAGAATATTCCTATTGTGAGAAGAAAAGTGTGAGATTTCAAATCAATTCCATTATCTTTCTTTTCAAATTCCATGCGTTTTCTCGGGATATCAATAAAACAAAAGAATATGTTACTTGGTTTTGAGGCTAACACAGAGCAAACCAGAACTCGAAATTCGAGTATTGATCACATTGAAATAATTTGCACAATAGATTTGCTCTAAATAGGTCTCGACCCAGCTTCACTTTATTATAAAGACAAGCACCCGGATGTGAGACTGGACCCTAGTGATGCAAGCTTCGTTGACGTTATACACACTAACTCGCCATTGGTCGGAACGCCTACAAGGTGTGGTCATATTGACTTCTGGCCTAACGGCGGCGAGTTTCAACGTGGATGCTCATTGTCTGGTACATTTATAGTGTTAAAATTTATAATATACTTCTAGCCAATCAAGAGAATCGGTTTTAAACTCGCATCAAAATGTGCACATGCATAATGAGGCCCATACGATAGGTTACGGACCGATTTTTTGCCCTGCCCTATAGCTAGAACGTGTAGCGACGCTTATGTTCCTCCCTGACCTCCTTGGTACAATTCCTGATCACAGCGGTTGGCGGTTGGCGGTTGGCGGTTGGCGGTTGGCGGTTGGCGGTTGGCGGTTGGCGGTTGGCGGTTGGAAAAAGTGTCCATAAAATTTGTTGGCAGCAATGAAAGGTACACTAGCAGTTTATAACAATTGTCAGTGAAGTAAGTCTTGACAACACACRCATTTTGCTGCAMGTTTGCCAGGGGAAGAACTGTTACCCCGACCATATTCACGATCTAGATCGGTCGACGAATCTTTGGCAGGGGAACCGGTAGCTATATTGAATGTATTCTTTTTTCACGTTTCTTTCAGGTACAGCCTGCTATGGTTACTGGTCAGTGGTTTTCTTTGTACCAAATAATGAAAAACTTGTGAAAGGCGACACTTCCTGCTAATGAACAAATACACACTGCGAAACTAATAAATATATATTAACCTAAATAAAATAAATTAACTTTACCTCAAAATAAATAAACACTCACCCAAAATAAATAAACTATTACATCCATGGGGATGTCAAACTAAACCAACAGCGTTTTTTTTCATTTTTGACATGAGTTGTTTTGTACGTCAGTCGGCCTCGTGGCCTGATGACGATATCTACGGTTACGCCGTGACCTATATGACAAAATCAAAGACTGTAGTACTTAGTTCAGTTCGGTACAGAAATTAAGATGTAATAAAAGATTTACATTATTTATATTGACTTAATTAATTCTGTCTTGAGTTATTTCAAAAAAGCCAGTATCGTGAAAAAAATAATAATTATAGCTCAACTGGCGGCAGCTGGCCAGGAAGCTACAGGAAGCCCGCGTAAGAGATCTATGATCGTCTTGTTAGAGTGTACAGGCCGAAGGCCTCTCGGCACGGTTATAAGCGTGCGACTTTATTTTTTTTCCCACGCCGCAGTTAAGCAATCCCAAGGAATCCATAATCTAGAGTTCCAAGGTTCGATCCTCGACTCAACTGGCGGCAGCTGACCAGGAAGCTACAGAAAGCCCGCGCAAGAGATCTATGATYGTCTGGTTATAATTAAATCTAAAAAAAGTTTGAACGTTTTCAGGAGTGTTTATTGAACGGTCTGGCATTGGACTACCTCTCTGATTGAATACAGGATAGCAATTATTTTTAATTTGTCGTTTATTAAGTACAGAATGTTGGAGAAGTCCTGACTAAGAAAATTGACAAGCATATTTGTCGTTTTGAAATTTATATTGTAGAAAAATCTCTTTAAATCGTTACCCAGCATACACCTGTTATGGTGATGTTTAATAATAATAATAATAATAATAATTTATTGAGCATTATATAGAATTTCAATGCTTTACAAGGTAAAAAATAGAATTAAATAAATACACATGGAATAACAATATAAATACACTATGGAATAACTTGTACAATTTAAAATAACTTATATTATCAAAAATTAACTAGAAACATTTACAAAATAAAAATGTCTTTAATAAGGATTTAAAACTGCTCAAGGTATCACAGTTTTTAAGTTCTAAAGGGAGAGAGTTCCACAATTTAGGAGCAATTACTGAAAATGTTTTAGTGCTCCATGTTATTAGTTATAGATTCCACACAACATTTAATGATCAGTTTGATATCGATAGAACTAAAATTAGCTAACATCAATAATTCTGATTATGATTATCATAATTACTATTTTAATAATTTTATATTCTTATAATACTAACTAAAAAGACATCAAGTGATCTAAGAAGATTATTGTAACCTGATTACAATTCGTGCAGCTCTATTACCGGTTGATATAATGATAATACAACATTCATTGCTCTCGCCTGCTTCCCCACAGCCAACAGTTTTTTGTCCTTTGCGATTCCTTAGTAACTCTCTCGTTCACATTCTTCCAAAAAGAAAAAATGAAGGGAACACTTGACTCGAGCTAACCCCTAAAATGTTACTTGTGTATTAAAACGATTCTTTGTACTGACTTTGCGATGTATTTACCATCTTTACATAGACAGTACTTTTTCATTTTATCCAAAAATTTGTTTACAACCTCAGGACTGTTGTTTGAACGAAAATTTATCTTGAATCTAAAAAAATCAAGTAAAAGGCTGCCTCTTTCAGAGCTTGCGTCGAAAACATCAGAGATATCATAACAATGCTCTTCTATGTGTTCTTCAAACTTCCAGGAATATTTCTGGAGGACTGAGGAGAGATTTTCATTGGTTAGGCCATATTCTGGTAGACATGAAGTTTTTTCCTGAGCTTCAAGCCACCACATCATGTCATTTACAGCAGCTATGCAAATGACCATCAGCCCTTTTTCTCTCAATTCTTCATGGTAGCAGTGTACTAGCGCCTCCTCCACGTCTATATAGTACAAACTATGGATAAAGTGCACTATATCAAACTTCACATCACCTTTTGGCTGGACTGCGTAGTCTGCGAAGGTTCTCGGTGGATCGAGGTCGAAGGCTACTTCTGCACTGTTGAACTCGTCTCCTAGTCTTTCAACTGCAGCTTTGTAGATGTCCATGGCGTTTTTATTAGGCTCTATAGCTCTGTTAAGCATTTTGATTGGGCCAACTGTCCCTTGTAGCTCTTTCAAACTTCTAAAATAACCTTTGAGGATCTTTAGAACTTCAAWATCAGTTTTTCCTTCTCCACTTCCAATGCTTAGAATATTGATTTGACTTTGRTGATTGTGGTCGTATCCAATTGAGGCGATTGCTGSTGGTAAAACGTCGCTTAGAAATTCATAGAACTTTTCGTTTTGTTTAGTTTTGTCGACGTATACTTTGAGTCGACGCTTGTACTCGGCTTCACTGCTCTTCCAGTGCAGATTTAACATGACTATACTAGAAAAATGTATCGGCGATTCTTGAATTTCATGCGCCAAGTCGGTACACTTTGCCTCGTCCAAAGCTTGTAGCATTGTCACACGTTATTAATATTYCAATTAGAGCTATGTGACATATTAAAGTAGTTTACGGCAGATGAGCTAGCAAATTAAAGTTGTATGCAAATGCGTGCTTAAAGGAGAAGTCCGTTTCTATGAGATCAATACTAATAATATTGAAATAAATAAAAATAATTTATTTGTTTATCTCGGCATATATCTAGTACGTTTTCCTATGACTGATCGCAAAGCACGATTTAAATTTTACTAAGTAATTGATTCCTACCCATCCAAAGTGTGCACTTGATAATTTTCACTGAGATAAGCCCTCGAGTGAATTTGTGCGCCTATATGCCGTCGCCCGTACCAATGGGCATATAGACCAATTTAGACCAGAGATTAACCCTTTAATYCCCAAATTTCTGGGGAATTTTTAATCGCTTTAAAGGTGAAAAGGTTCAAAAAACGATTTTCAATCAAGTTTTCAAGACAAATGTTGCCCCTACCTCCATCTGTTACCATCCGTGACAGTTGGATGAAATGAGTCCAACTATGATCATTTGGGAGTCAAAAATGTTTTAAACATAAAAATATTGCCTTTGAAAAATGAATCCATCTAAGAGTTTCTACATTGTACATATTATTCTGCATATCAATTAGTATTACCATAATATTCATTACTTGACAGACTGATACAGATGGAGCTCCAACTGTCTCCATCTGTTACAGATCGAGAGTATAGTACAACCCTCCGATAGGGTAGCTTGTTGTCTAGGATRGRGTAAAAGTCTCATTKTCTGGGATAGGGTGAAATTTTGCCTAAGATCGTATCTGTTAGGCCACGCTTTCATCGCTAAAATAATGTACCTTGTTTGTACCTTTAGTCTGGGATAGGATATGTAAAATCAAATCAGATCAGCCTCTCCAGTGATCTTCTTTTGTCTTTATTCCTTATTTATGTCCTTATTTATTCCTTTTTACTAAATACAAATGTCCTATTTTCTATGATAACGTTTTCGCAAGTAGGTGTATTTCATAGCAATATGGAAAATGGGAAGTCATTTTAGAATCTCACACTGGAGGGAGCTACTGATACTTAACCGCGGAAGAACATACATGATCTGATCCTTCAAAAAGTTTGCAACTGCAAACTAACGTAAAATCCTCACTTAATGATAACAATAAAAGGCAAACATCAAACGTTCAGTGTTGTTTCGCACGTGTCCTTCATGAGCCGAGTATGAAAACGGTCGCAGCGAACCATGGGATTTCATGCCCAGCCCAAATACCAATCGCAACGCTTCATGGGATTTCATGCCCAGCATGAAAACGGTCGCAACGCTTTATGGGACTTCATGCCCAGCATGAAAACGGTCGCAACGCNGCATCCTGGGTATTTATGAGTCGGTATGAAAATGATCCTAGTGATGATAAAATTGTGCATTTGCTGCATGTAATGTATAAGCTCATGCCCTATAAACGTTTTGAAACACTTCTGCCATGTCGTGTACGCTTCAACGTGATTTTTGCCGTAATGAGCATGAAATATTTCGCTTCATGCTAAAAATGATGTTAGATGAACTCGCAGCTTCAATTCATGCCAGAAACGCGCATTTTTATAGCTTGAAATAATATGATTCAACGATATTTACACCTGTTAGGCATGAATCATGCCTTTTCTAACGCTTAAGATCGTATTTTGTATRCATGGCATGAAATATTGCAATATTCATGCCAAAACCTTAAAATTTGCTAAAACTGTAACTGTAAATTTTACTTTCTAACCCGTTTTGAATCATGTAAACAGGCGTCTAAATGATAAGGTCAATTGTCTAGTAGATGATTAGATCTTTGCTACGTTCTGCAAAAACCTGAACTGAGTGAGTCCTCTAAAATTCGCATTATCTAAATTGAGAATGTTGAATAACAGCGGGGAACAAACATATTATGGAATACTTTACTAATTTATTAAAATGATAAATACATGTACTATAAGCATTGTTAACACATATCCTGCGATAAACATGTAATTTATAATTAAATATTAATTTTTAGATATTTTTTTAATTATATTTCGAATTTCTATAAAATTTCGAGTGTGTAATGCATCTTGGGATTCGCTTTAAGGACAAGCATCCCACTGCTTCTTGCATTTCTGCATCATACAATCATGAGCAGGCTTCAAATCCACTTTATAATCGACGTAGGAGGCCTAGGAATAAGAGAAGTTAAGATAAGAGATTGATCATGAAACAATACGAAGAGTGGAGAGCTTGAAATACTGAAGATCAAAAAAGGCGTTTGGCCATTGCATGTTGAAAATAAAGTATAAAAGTTCCACTCTACCCCTCCCTCCCCATTCGTTCCCAGTTCGTCACCCGAAGTACAAGATGTCTCTCATGTTTAAATCTCGAGTTATAGCCTGAAAAAGTCTACTGTCGCATATTGTGTTATGTTGTGTTGTATCGTTGTGTGTTTTGTGGTCTTATTTTGGTGATGTTGTATTGTGTTGTGTGGTGTATGATCTTTATAGCTTATGTATGCTGGAAATGTAGGCAAGGCGGATGCGATTCGAACCAATTTTGATCTAATCTAAACAACAATTACCATAAAGCATATTGGTTAGCATTTTCTCCTTGGCAAATAATTCACTGAATTCCTAAGTATGAGAAAAAAGCTTCATAAATGTAGCATACCTTTAGATTACATACGTCTGTAGCGTCACAGTCAAACTGAACATGCTATGAAAAAAGCAAAGAAAGATTCAATAATATTTGTAACTGATACGGGCAATATACTGAAGATGAGGAATTTTTTGAGCGTGTCTTACTTCATTGCAACCCTCTCCTTTGATCCATCTTGCTGTGGCCCACTTACAAATACACCAAGTTGGTTTGTCAGCTGGACATCTCTGATTGCCATCATTCTTATCACCGTAATCACCTATCAATGTCGAATACTATTTTTAATAGGTTTGAAAGGAAACAAATTTTTGCAGGTTCCTCGATGATAGAATCAAACAACACGCTTCTCATGCGTCCAAAGGTTGACTTTCCTTTGTGCATATTTACTTAAAGGAAATATTTTCAAGTGAATATACTTCTAAGGGACTGCGCAATATTTATCAGGAGGAGATTGTTTGAGAATCCAGAGAGGGGGGGACAACATCTAAATCTATGTGCTTAAAGAGGGGGGACCGTCTAAAATTAACTAGAATTTTAATTGAAAACAGAAAAATAAATGGTGTCAGATTCAAAAACTTCTCAAGATTTGCGACCACTCTTTATTCACATTCAATAACAAATAAATAAATTCACGGGGGGTGGAGTCGAGCGTAATTTATTTCGATAATTTCGAAATTTAAATAGAGAGTTTATGAGAGGTTCAACTGCTCACAGTGCCCGGGGGGGGGGGGGGGGGGGGGGTACTCCCATATATTTACTATACGGGGACGTGCCGCTGGCCAGGGTATGGTTTTTGGCCTTGCTGTCTTAAAAAGGGTATACATTTCACCCGAAATTGTCTTAAACAGGCTCTACAATTTAGTAGATAAAAGACCGATATAATTTTTGTGTGTGTCTTGGACAGGGTAATATTTTCATAAGAGATACCGTAGAAATAGTAGAAATACCGTTTCACTGTACCAGGATTAACGTGTTATCAAAAACGTCTTATCGTCTTTGATGGATGTCAGTATAATTGCAGTTTTGATGGTKGCKGSGTAGATAGCTATTCCTTATTTTTCCGATTTGTCTTGAACAGGGTATGGATTTTTACTTTTTAGTGTCTTAAACAGGGTCAAGGATTTAGACCACTGGCGGCACGTACCTATCCAAAACGGGGTCGAGTACCCATCCCGGGTCACAGTGGTAACGTGATTTACATGTAGCTATATTCTATATACTTGGAAATAAATCAAGATACTTACTGACTGATTTACACCAAGATCTTTGTCCTGTAAAATCCCAGAAAGAAGAGCCGTCAACTCCAATCTTGGCACAAACTCTATGAGTTTCATCATGATTGCAGCGCCTATCAAATAATCGACATTTTATTAAAGAACATGCTCGATTTGAACGTGAATCACAAGGAGGGGCATGGGATGCAGGAATGGGTCGAAAGACATAATCAAAACGTTTCAAAATTTCTCAAAATGTTTGGGAACCAATAATTTGAGGCGCAAACCGTAAAATTAGAAAAATAATAATAATAATAAACAACGGAAACAATCAACAATACAACGTAGCACTGCAAACTATGCACGAAATTCTAGCTATTCAAATAGCCGTTTTCAATTTTGGAATACAATTACAAGGCAAGTTGAATTTGTAAGGTTATCTTTTTACATCATAAATCGTTTTGGATCGCAAGAGACTCGTTGTGACACAGCAGAGAAAAATTAAAGATAGTCGAAAATAGTGAGTTCGTTGTTTCTCAATAACCAAGGCCTACCTGTCTCCCCTTGTGTCTCCAGGACATGGTTTGAGTGACAGCACCATTGTAGGCAAAAGAGCAAGTAATACCAGACATGTGTTGGCCAACATATCTCACCTGGAAATAGATATCAAAAAGAGATACATTCAAGGTGACGTGTAGTTTAGCCGCTTAGTCAAAAAATATAGAGGAAAATCACATGGAGATATTATTAAGTCAGCTTCTAGCAGAGTCTTCCTCGTTGTGTTCCCGCGTCAGGAGCTACAACAACAGAGACCCTGGTAACAGGGAAATTTCCTCTTGACTCCTACGAAATTGAAAATGAATATAGGAGTCATGTTATCAGGAGCTCGAACGGTCTGGCAGGCAGCAGATTCACAGTGAATGAAGGACGTCTTCCCTGCTGTTTTCACAACAGGTGCAACGTGCTAATGTCAATTATTAAAATATTACTAAAGCCGAGTTATATAATAGCATTTTATTGAATGATTAGGTTGAAAAACGTCGAAGGAAATATCTTTTAAATTTAAGACACAAAGGAAGAGAACTAGTAACGAGCGATGATCAAAGAGATAGAACAACTTTATTCAAAGACTTTCATAGATTTAATCTTCTATATTTCTCACAATAGCTCCATTGATTGCTACAACTAAAAAGTAGAGATTCATTGCCGATTGCGAGATGCAGGAAAACTACATATTGTAAATAATATTGTATATAATATAATATTGTGTTCATGTTTTTTTAAAGAAAAACCCGAAAAAGATGCTTTATCTAGTCCTAAATAATTAGCACACTTAAATCTCTCATCACACTAAAATTACTCGAAAATTACTTTAAATTGTTTATGGGAATTTCGCTCTTCAAGAGTTTAACCTCATTTCTATTTTCTGCAAACCTAATGTTCAACCAGGGTGCTACAGTGGAAATCTTCGCATCGTAACTCAGTTAGCCGGATTTGGGGACCCTCCTTTGACTATGGGTAAAATCACTATTTGAATACATAATTGTCATCAATACAAGAGATTTGTATGGCTGGATGAAAGCGGTGTGATTAAAGCAATTTTATACCTAATCAAAGAAAAACACAACATTCGTTAAACGAACGTCAACTCTTGGTCGCGATTCGGGTTTTGGCTGCAAGATTTCCTTTGATTTCCTCATTTCCACATAAATTTGTAGAAGATAGAGAACCGCCGACCGGTTAGCTCAGTAGGTAGAGTATCGGACTTTAGTGCGGGAGGTCGCAGGTTCAAACCCCGGCCGGACCAACACTCAGGGTCTTAAAATAATTGAGGAGAAGTTGCTGCCTTTGTCTTTCTCCATCTGCAAATGGTAAGATCTTCTCGTCCTCTCGGATAACGACGTAAAATCGGAGGTCCCGTCTCTCTACACTTCACTCACTAACCTGTATTAGAGGGACGTTAAAGAACCCACACCRCTGTTCGCATAAGAGTAGGGAATGATTCCCGGTGTGTGTGGCTAGGCCTTACTACTAACCCATACTAATTACTAACCCCTCATGATTGTAAGCCGCGTGGCTGCCAATTGCGCCTTAAACAGCGGCCCGTGTGAAATACATGTGAAGCGCCTTTGAACTCAGAGGATATCGGCGCTATATAAATACCACATATTATTATTATTATTATTAAGATAGAGATATTTTATAGTTTGAAAGCGAATTCAATGATGCTATGCCAAACAGTTATTTGGTTTAGGTTTGGGTTTAAAACAAATGTTTTTTCTTGATCAAGTCTTTTGTGGTCTTTTGTAATGAGGAAACTGAAAAAAGCGTGACGAACCTATTTTAGCGTTACACGTGACATGACCATGTGAACACTTTTAAAAACGTGTTTCCTCTCGATGTTTGATTATTTTGACTATATTTTGAAGCTAATAGTTTTGCTAAGTACGCAAGAGATTTTACAATATTCGAAAAAGAACTAAACCGTGTTAAGGCTAACACAAAAGTATTTCGACGAAATGACTGTGAAATATATTTTAAAGTGTAACGCAGTGCAGATGTTATGTAATAACTGGTCAAATCACTTGGTTTTAGCATCAAGATTTGTCTACAGCAGCTGGCCTTACTCATAATTACAGAAATTATATCATCCGTCGACAGATATTTATGTTTTGGTTCGGATTAAATCGTTTTGGACAAATCTGTAGCAAAAAAGAAAGTGTCTATAAATCAACTCATTCAAACCCAATGTTTTATAGTTTGATTCATTGCCTTTAGCACACCATATGTGGACCGGCCAAATTATATAATCAGCAACTTCTAGCATAATCATTCCTATACTAAATGTGTCTTGGAATATAAGGGACATTAGTGAAACCTACCTTAAAATATGGATTTGAGCCCGTAATCAACCGTCCCGTCTCAGGTAACGTAACAACAACAATAACACGTAGTCAAAGAATGCAAATTAGGTGGACCCATGAGACTACTGACATACATAATTAATTACAAGAGTGTTGCCAGGTAAAACCAGGTAAAACCAGGCAATACACAGTGAGATTCCACTTCAAATTCATCTCCTTCATTTAGTATAGGGACTAAGGGTTTTATGCCCAAACCGGCCCCGTTTTGGATGGTACGTGCCGCCAGCGGTCTAAATCCCTGACCCTCTTTAAGACACTAGGAAGCGAAAAGCCATACCCTGTTCAAGACAAATCGGAAAAATAAGGAATAGCTATCTACGCCGCAGCCATCAAAACTGCAATTATACTGACATCCATCAAAGATAATTAATAAGTTTTTGATAACACGTTAATCCTGGAACAGTGAAACCAGTGAAACGGTATTTCTACTATTTCTACGGTATTTCTTATGAAAATATTACCGTGTCCAAGACACACAAAAAAATTATATCGGTCTTTTACCTAAATTGTAGAGCCTGTATACCCTGTCAAAGGCAGCAAGGCCAAAAACCATAACCTGGCCAGCGGCACGTCCCCGTATATCAAATATATGGGAGTACCCCCCTCCGGGTGCGTACATTATTCTTAGCTTTCACAGGATGTCATCAGTCTGGAAAAAAACAAACAGACAACATTGTAGTATTGAAATACTTTGAAGAGCATGATATTTAAGTTAGTCTCAGAATGTTTAACCATTTTTGCTGTTATTCTTTGAGTTATAAAAATGTTCAAAAATATGTCACGCAATACTGTCACGCGACTTGAAACACAAAAAACTCGAAAAGCCTATAAATAGTCTCCTTCGCAGGCTCCCCTTTTGTCGGGCAGGAACAGGAATTGAGTATCGAGTATTTTGTTGTCAAAATTCAATTGTCGGGGTCTCTGTGGTGTCAGTCTAAGAATAGTGCTGAAGGACATTTATAATCAGTACAAAATATCATCTAAACTCTCAAAAGACATCTTGGACTGCATGATTCCAAGAACCTCTGCGAGNAGTGAAACGGTATTTCTACTATTTCTACGGTATTTCTTATGAAAATATTACCGTGTCCAAGACACACAAAAAAATTATATCGGTCTTTTACCTAAATTGTAGAGCCTGTATACCCTGTCAAAGGCAGCAAGGCCAAAAACCATAACCTGGCCAGCGGCACGTCCCCGTATATCAAATATATGGGAGTACCCCCCTCCGGGTGCGTACATTATTCTTAGCTTTCACAGGATGTCATCAGTCTGGAAAAAAACAAACAGACAACATTGTAGTATTGAAATACTTTGAAGAGCATGATATTTAAGTTAGTCTCAGAATGTTTAACCATTTTTGCTGTTATTCTTTGAGTTATAAAAATGTTCAAAAATATGTCACGCAATACTGTCACGCGACTTGAAACACAAAAAACTCGAAAAGCCTATAAATAGTCTCCTTCGCAGGCTCCCCTTTTGTCGGGCAGGAACAGGAATTGAGTATCGAGTATTTTGTTGTCAAAATTCAATTGTCGGGGTCTCTGTGGTGTCAGTCTAAGAATAGTGCTGAAGGACATTTATAATCAGTACAAAATATCATCTAAACTCTCAAAAGACATCTTGGACTGCATGATTCCAAGAACCTCTGCGAGATTTTTGCACAAACAAAAATTCGCCATCTTTGATCATTTCGAACTAATCAAAAACATCGTCAAACAAAAAGAAATAATCGAAATGGCTCTTGGATACTGCACGAGGGACTTTAATGCCATAAGCTGTTTTGTGTGCAAGTATRTATTTACTCCGTGGAGCTGCTTTGCAATTTGACTATTTTCTTACTATTCCTTGTGTGTGTACTTCACTGTTCTGATAAACAAAGTATAGAGGCTTACAACGTTGGTATKGAATTTTGTATAATTAAAAACAGTACTACCAACATATTCACTATATCCATTACATTTCTTTGGAAATTTTAGCATATTTAAAACATACTGTGTAACGTTTTTACTATTTGAATGTAATGCCACTAAATTTTAACATTTAGAGTTTCCAATACGTCCTTTCAGTTTCTATAGCGTGAGTTTTATCTCACTATTATAGAATTAGGAGACTGATTTCGTCCMGTATCCTATAGGCTTGAAATCCGGCAATTGTCACATGACCGATTAGATTACATTGTCGTTAAAAATAGTTTTTCCGAGAAGTTAAAGAATCTCTCAGAACCTCAGCTCATGATGAGATGGCGGAAYTCAATGTGTTCGCGAACAATCTTGAAAGAGAACTCACTTGTTCCATATGCGAAAAGATCTTTACCAACCCAAGGACGTTGAAATGTCTGCACGCTTTCTGCCTGAAATGCATATCTGACTGGAACGAGTTGTGTAGACAGGAAAGACGACCACTAACGTGTCCTTCATGTAGGTCAATCGAGAGACTCGAAGGCGATGACGTGTCTAATCTTCCTCTTTCGTTCTACCTCGACTCCCTTCTTCAAGTTCTTCGTGATATGAAAACTGCTGCCAAGACACAAGACCAACAGGAACTACCAGACTGTGTTAGCTGCAAGAAACGAGACAAACTCGTAGCATTCTGTCCACAGTRCCAAGGATTTATCTGTGTTTCATGCATGGGCCTTCACCAAACCTTAACGACGTTCCAGGAGCATCAAGCGACGATGTTCAGCGATTTCAACAAAGAAAATGTCAACAACCACGTTAAAAATCAAATGTATTATTGTYCAAAAAGATACCACAGCAAAAACAAACTAGACTTTTACTGTACAACATGCAAACAATGTATCTGTTTGAAATGTAACGCAACAGAACATAAACTACACCACGTAGTGACCGTCGAGGAAGCCGCGCAAGAGATGAAAGTGTCCATAAAGCGGGATATGGACAGAGCAAATATGATGAAAGAACACTATGAAGAAGAACTTGAACATTCCAAACAGGATGTCGCAYGTATTGAGCAAGAAATTAATGCAGCAATGAAGAAAGTTACCGATTAAGTAGAGCAACATGTCAAAATATTAAGAGAACATGAAACAGCAGTCATCAAAACCTTACAGCTAAAACTACAGCAACAGAAAGCAGAAAATAATGATGAACAAAGAGAACTTCGTGATGTAATTGAAAACATCTCTGAAATCAACCTTCAAGGTCATACATTGCTCGATGAAAATAGAGCACAGTTCATTATAAACAACGAACCTCTTCACAAACCACCGATATTGTCGAGGAAGTCATTTGAACGTTTTTCAAGTGTACGTTACACACCTCAAGTCAAGTCACGCAAACCTTGCAGGATATTGGAACTGTTGAGGAAAGCGTGACAGATCATTCACGTTGTTCAATTGAAAGTCTAAATGACATCAGGTGCGGTCTTGTCAATCGCTTTGAAGTCGTCACAAGAAACTCTCAAAACGAACAAAGCATGACTTGTAAAGGCTCTATTGATGTTCAAATCAAAGATGGCGATGGAATGGATGTAGAGAAGGAATTAAATCAAAGTGAAAAAGGGAAATACACCGTGAAGTATCTTGCAGAGAAACCGGCATGTAATTACACAGTCCATGTGAAAATCAATGGACAAGAAATCAAGAACTCACCACAGACTGTTAAGACACGTGACCTCAGAGGGGAATTTAGACCAGTCAAAGACTTTCCACGAGTAAAAAGAAATTCAAGTAAATTCTGGTCACTAGCAATAAGTGAAAGAGGAGAGGTAGCCATTGCTGACTTGGGTGTTGGTCGTATTGTAATGTTCAATGTTGACGGAGAGTATTTGAGACATTTTGGCGAAGAAGGAACCGATGAAGGTAAACTTATTAATCCTCGTGCTGTAGTCTTTCATGAAGACCATTTACTTGTTACTGATAATAATGCGAACAATGGTACTGGACGAATAAAGAAGTTCGATTTGAATGGTACTTACTGTAGAACTATTTACAAAGAGCAAGGAGTTGAACTATTTGGAATGCGTGCAACAAATGAAAACATTGCTGTTTGCTATCAGTCCCCAATCAAAAACCAGTCGGGAATAACATTTTTAAAAAAGCAATCTGGCCAGGAGGTGCAGAGAGAATTTCGCATGATYATTGAAGATGAGGTACCAAAAAATATTGCTTATGATAGCGGTAAATACTTTGTGTCATATCCAGCGGAACACTSCATCCGCGTTTTTGATAGAAATTTTGCACTGTTGTATAAATTTGGAAAGAAAGGAAATGGAAATGGTGAGTTTAAATTTCCACGAGGTCTGGCTGTTATAAGTGATACAATCCTTGTTTGTGATGATGACAACTACCGAGTTCAAATGTTGAATCAGGATGGTCGCTTCATACGTTCCTTTGGTAGCCGTGGTTCAGGTCTTGGTCAGATGAAGAACCCTATGGATGTCGCTGTTGCACCAGGTGGTCAAGTCTTTGTAGTTGAATGGGACAATTACCGTGTCCAAGTCTGGCGATAGAATCTATAGATAACGCATAGTTACAACTATAGGTGGTACTTTCCCTCTTTTTTAGACCGTTTGTTTTTTTTGTCAAAAAAAGATCTATCGTTGAAAGCTGCTTTTTGATTGGTACGAAACCAAAGATGGCGATTCCTTTTGGATAAACCGTAAACCGTGTTATTTGATCTTTTTTTACATGACGTCCAGCGGCTTTTGGTATTATTTTGTATAGCTATTTGGCTTGATAATCTTACAATGAGAATAGAAATAATGATAACAATAATGGATTATCAACTCAATGTGTTTCCCGAAAAGAGAGGTGATCATTGCGATGGGACAAACTTCAAACTATCGTTTGAAGTACATACTATACGAAAATATATAGAGATTTTTAATGTCTAGAACTGCATGTTCACTTCAGATTTAAGCAAAACTTTATTAGAAATATAAGTTTGATAAAATTTAGCATTTGTTTAGCGACCTTACATAAAGATGAATGTAGAAAATATTCAGTTTTAARTAACTCAATTGTTAATCAGTAATGACAATACACATGAATACAATATGACATTCAGCGTTGTGCCATTCAGCTTGATTTATTCCATTGCACGCTCTTGTCTGTGTGGTGCAATCCTTGTAGCTGCACAGTCATGCGAAATCTTATCTAGTTGAACATGTCTAGACTAGGCTGTAATTGTCAAGAGACGGGTTTTTTCAAGGATGACCTTGGATTTCCTGGTAGACCGCATCGGTGGTCTTGCTGATGTCAGTCTTAGGAGGAAGCTTGGTGTCTGGACTAAGTGAAGTGTAAGTATCCTTGTGAGGACTGACTGACTGGTAGATGGTCTTGTTAGGATATCCCTGTTCTTTGTCATCAACCAGCTCGTACTGCGTTTCATTCTGATTGTCAGAAGGGTGCCTATGGGTCTCAGGACGCATTTTGCTCTGTTGAATTGTAATCACAGCTCATAAGTCTAATTCTCTATTGTTCTCGGCGTCACTGAAAGTCTTACCATATCAACCATGTCGTACTCTGCCTGTGGTCTAAAATGAGAATTSCAAAAAGGAACACGTGTTCGATGAGAGAACTTTTCCTGCCTTTAGAGGTCATGAAACATGACATGTGGTTAATATATCTTTCTTTATATTTTTTGTTTCTATTGTTTTCTTTCCTTTCCAATTATTGCGTTCTTTAAGTTTTGAATTTATAGTTGCAAGATTACCTTTTCCTTTGCTGTCCTGTGTTCTCTGTAGAATTAAAGTCAGTGATCAGTAAGGATAGTTCAAGTAAAGTTTAAAGTCCGACAATGAGAACTGGATGGGATTTCAAGTCAACGAAATTAGTTCCARTCCGAGGCGTTAGCTTATTTATCGCTATTTTCGAAAGAAGCATCCTTTGTCTTCTAAATTTCCCTCATGTTATTCATGAGGAAAATTGGGGTTCCTTTGCCTTCTATACTTCCCTAATGCAGTGCACAATGCAATTTATGCAGATTATGCTGAACGCAAGTGTCCTACACCATCTGGCACTAGCATGTTTTGCATGTGGGACASTTTTTACCTAACTGCGCATGCCTGTGCTCTATAAAAAACGAAAATGCCTATGACAGATTTATTTATATATTAGTTAATATGTGTTTTCCAGTCCTTACCTTTGCTGTGCCTCCTGCAAGTGAAACAAACCAAAAAGGCAAAATTGAACATCACCGACACTCCAAGCAACACCCCAAGGATCGTTATAAGAAGTAAATGATAATWTCCTAGAAAGCAAAGTCCAATGTCCAGTTAGGAAGGACTTTATTCTTAATAACGAGCAACAAGATTRACATTGATTAGTGACTAACCTTGGTATGCTGCAGTTGTAGCCACTGTGGATGGCGTTGAATACTTTCCTGAAAAAACTGACATAGTGGATTAGTGGCTCGATTTATCTACGTCCTTTCAATAAATGAACTTGAGACCTTAGTGGATGTCCGTTGAATATTGATTGAACAGCGCACATGCAAAGAGGACCTTACCGTGGAGCTAAAAAAAACGGAACAACTGTCCTTTTTTATTCGACTAGAATGGCTTTTCCAGGAAAATCAATTTCCTCAATAAAAAAGTTTGAGCTGGAATCAGTAATTTCTGAGATGATGCATCAGATGTATCAGGCGGTCAATAAAAAGTGAATGCAACAGAGATCTTTGAAAGATTTTAACCCTATGCAAAAATAATGAAACAAAAACAAAATGATTGTATAAATGGCTCTAAACAAACAAAAAGAGGTTACTCTGCACCTTATTAAAGGCTTTAAAATCAACAACCTATACCTAGTAAAACTAAATGGATTCTGTCTTAAAATTAAAATATAGCTAACCTTCCTTTGTATTGCCGAATGTTACAGAGTACTTCCATTCAGATTTGTCCACATTTTGATTCAAGCGTTTTACGCCAAAGACAAGAAACTTGAATCTTGACCCAGATTTTAGTCCAGATACAAGTACTTGTCTTTTAAGACCACTTTTACCAGGGTGAAATATTGTTTTGCTGCTACACGGTTCAACACATTTCTTATCTTTGTCATTTTTACACACGAAACATTCAACTGTGAAGGTTACAGTTTTGTCACTTGTTGGAGGCCAGGACACTCGGATGGATGGAATATTCAACGGTGTTACAATAATAGATTTAGGACCATTTGGAAGAGCTGCAAAACAAAGTTTTGAGTAACCATGGAAGTCAATAAAAGATATGGGAATCCATATCAGTTATAACAAAATTTTAATTTATTTTAATGTTGTATATTTTTGGATTATAAAGAATAGAAGAGATAATATGAAGATGAATAGGTAAGGTGTGTTATGATAGTTTTATCAAAAATATCGCAGTCTTCCAGTACAGTCGATCAATTAAACAGGAAGTTCCGGAATAAAAGGCGGCTGGCCAGGCCAAATTCAGCTCATTAACCAACGAGACCCTGTATTCAAGGTTTACTCGTGCCCTACATGGTTTTGTTTTGTTGAAGCTGAAGTATTTTGTGGCATTTATTTGGTTCGCCTTTTACGTCATATATTACTTTGGAGGGTGTTACTGCACTATGGCGCTTAGACTGGACGTTATTTTATAAGACAGTTAGACGATATTTGGACGATATTTATCTCGTGGAAAAAAACATCGTGGGTCGTTCATCTAATTAGCACAACGAAAACAAATCAGTAAAGCGTAATCTACAATCAACCCGTTTTCAATTTTCTTCGTCACTTCAGTCAACGATAGCGATTCGACGCCTTTGTTTTTTGCACCGGTGGAAATCTGTAATTTACATTAATTAGGTCAGTGCATACTGTGAACATCTAATCTGGGTTTTAGTCAAACAACTTAACCTTATTATTTATTAGTCACGAAGCGCGTCCTCTTTTTCATCGYTTAGAGATTTCGTCGATTGTGGCTTTTTCCGCTCTGTACAAGGACCTTACGCTTGACTACAAGGACGGTTGGGAGCCATCCTCTTCGAGGTGCCACTGAATGCTTCTTTGAAATCGGCTCGTACTCCTTTCCTTTAGCTTTATTTCACTTACATGAATGATGGTCTAACGTTTTTCGTAGTCATAGCTACTCTCTCACGACTAGAAGAGGTGTCGATCGATCTTAGAAATTGAGATCTCATCGCCTTTAAGAGAGAACTTTCTGCCGCATGTCCCAAATACTCAGTCGAGTATTATAGACTAAGTGGCAGAATTTAACTTGAAGACTGTTTACATTATATTACGTACTGTTGGTCACACCTGGCGGCAATGCATGTTGAGTACCGGAAATTAGCACCCAAGTGAGACTGGTGAAGCAAGTCTAGTCTCGTTCCTAACATTGCATAACGTAACCACCACTCGTTGTCGCCAAGAAGAAATGCCTGGGCTCGAATACTGCGGTGCATAACAAAGCACATGCGCATATGCGTAGATAACGTGTATTTAGGTAAACTTTGTTTACCACATTTGTGAACGTGCTTAAGATTTCTGGTATATAGGCTACATTGAATCTTACAGTAAAGAATAAGTGCGTCACTTCCGGTGCACAGCGTTCGGAAAGTAATCGTGATTCCGAAGCAAAACCTCTGACTTGGAAACGAAAAAAGAATACAATTATACGCGTTGCATTTTATACCAAGTGCCTGCAGCCGTAGCCTGGGCACGAGAAATGAGATACCGAGTAGAGAGAATTTTATATTTACATAGATGAAATATTAGTAGATAGTGAAAGTGAAAAAAGTTAAACAGCTCAAGAATACAAGAAAAAWTTCATTTTTGCACGGCCACGGGACGGGTCTTATAGCTAAAAATATGACACTGAACCCGAAATATTTTAATTTGTATGATAATTACTCCACAATTTCCCCTTTATTTCAAAGGCTACATCTGTTTTCCATGGTTGTCTTTCTCGTCGGCTAAGAATTGAGGAGAAACGCTATCCTGCTTCCCTTTTTTGGGACATTTTTGATAGACCAGAACACAACCGCGCGCAGTTTCCTTTTTTCTTSGTAATAAAAGACGAAATTAATGATCAAAAAAGCTGCCATTAATTGGTGACCATCCTTGCAAGCAGGACAATGATGGAGATGGACAGCACAAAATTGAGACAAAGAATAAAGGCCCTTTTGATACATCGATTGATAAATTCCGTCTATTGGACGACTGGATATGTCCTCCAAAGCTTAGATCCCTTTTGTTATGTACTTTCTCATATATGTATATTATATCATGTTAGAAAGACTTGTTACTTGTTACTTTTCTGGAAAAACRTTCTAAAGAATTTTAGATGATATATATAATATATATTAGCCTGTGAAGGCAAATCTAAAGAAGTAGCAAAGATTTGAAGAACAAACGTTTCCAATATCAAAATATGTATAGGGTAATGCCCAAGATGTAACTGCTCCATTGTTATTATCATTTTTAAAACAGCAAAGATTTTTTTTCTCCGAGTTTTTGCTTACAAACCAAGTGTTTTGCGTTTAACTTTGCTAAAAAGCTCATGGCTACATAAAAAGAAAGTTATAATCAGTCTAACCGAGTACAATTGCAACCAATCGATTCTTACCATAACATGGCTCGTCGTTGTTCTTTTCATTCATCCTAAACAACCCTGACTGACAAACACACATTGTACTTCGTCCAAAGGAGTAAGAACCGCTTGGACATATCTTGCACTTGCTGTTGTTTAAAGAACTCTTATACTGTTCATATCCACATTCTAAATAATAAACTCACAATTAAAACTTTAGCAATTACTGAGAATCGGTAACCTTCACATACTCGTACACGTAAATCACGTAAATACGTTTCTCTATTATGTGCTCAATCGTTATCATTTTAGACTTCCCAGCATGCACACGAAATATGACGTCATCTATATTTCCACACTTTAATCGTATCATGGCAATACCCACCTGCACAGTGTGCTCTAGGAGTTGGTAAGTACTCATAACCAGGTTTGCACAGACACCTGACATCATTATTCACSTYCCACACTCCTTTGGTTGTGCAAACACCCAGTAATTCAGTTTTATTTTTAGCATTTGAATCTGAGCAAGATCCGTGGACTTCCTGACCCTGAGATCCCACAATGTCTTCARCTGGAGATATGGTTTTAGGAAACTTGATGAAATCAAGATATTTACCCCTTTCTGGACAAAAGTAGTACATTACTTTGATGCTGTACAACGTGAGACATACACCTTGATCCAAGAAAGCCAGGTAAAATCCATCCATCTTTGCTTTGATTGTTGCATTCAATACAATAACGTCCTTTTCATCTGGTACTCCATCTTTGAGGTTTGTAGGCTTTGCAACTGCAATTTCCTCAAATCCATTTGGAGGTTTAGGACTTRATGCAGACTTATTAGTGTGTGCTGTGTAAAGCTTGAACTCTTCTTTGCAGTATTTARAGTTTGATTTACATTTTCTGAYGGTGTAACTAATGTAAATGAACACRCGCTTAGCGCCATTGAATTCAATAAASTCAGTTCTTAACCAGGATTTTGGTTCTTGCTTTTCTRTAGTATCACATACTAAGTATTTCCCAGAGTTGAAGAAAAACTGAAGGAAAAAAAAATCAAAATTGCAACTCAACACTTTTGGCATACAAAACAATAGGGTDTACTTGAATCGAGGGCATTGAGACTGCTGTCCAGTGGAGGGCGACTTTGATGTCTTGAGGAACATTTTGCAATGGCAACTATGTCATAGCATAATGCCTTGAGCTGCTGTATTCACCAACGAAATATCCTAATGCGAGAGAAAAATGATCGGGATCTATACAATGATATAGTAGACCTTCCATATACAGCCAATTCTTTATCGGTGTTAAGACATAAAAACAACGACAACAAGTCATCTGAATGAGAAGGCATTTAGAAATCCCAGCAATAATTGTGATTTGAACTTTAAATAACTAGAAAATCAATTATAATTAACATTGTAGAGAAGTTTTAAAACTTTATACTGGAACTACAATTTTTGGCAAAGAAATTAAACGCGTATTTTATAAGGAAATGACTTTGTTGTTGTCTTTACATAATTACTACTGAACAACGTTAACGGGATTAACTGCACCTTTTCTTTTCTTGGGTGTCACAGTTTGGAATTTGGCTAATAAACTATGGTTTTAATTTTAGCCTGGTAGAAAAAACATCGAGAAAAGGCTTGCATACAAATGCATGAAAATCATTAAAATTACCCCCAGCATGTCTCCCGGCAATTTTTCCTTATACCAGCCATCTTGAATAGTCAGAGGTAAAGTTTCTGAAACAATA